GGGTGCCCATTCTTGATAAAGTGAAGCGGCTCTCGTAGCGATATTTTCATATTCAACTTTTTGAGTATGAGGTAATAAATTCCAGGCATCTCTTGCCCAACCTGAAACACGCTTCATTGGTATTCTTTGACCACGACGATGTAAAGCGTCAAGATATTTCTTTCGGAAGAGGATAAATGCGTTTGGTGGTTTTCTCGTATCTTTTCCTTTACCATTTCTAACTTTTGCGCCTAATTCGTATAGGTCAAAGGTGGGAGGAAATTCAATAACGAGATCATCAGGTGGACCCGTTGGCGTGGTTTGTGGTTGCTTTGCATTTACTTCAATAAAAACGAATTCTTTTGAAGACATTTTAAATTATTGATAAAAATTTTTTGTTATTAGAGTAAAATGATTAAAAGATTTTTTTTTTGACGAGAAAACTATCGAACGAAACGTATCATTTATATAAAAATTTTGGAATGATGTGTAACTCAAAATCTGATGTTCAACCAACAATAATAAATATGCATAGCCTGCATTAAATAAATCCGTTTTAGAGCTTTAGAATACAACTAATAATTTAAATTTTTTTATTTTTGGTTTGCTTTTTTTTTATTTTATATTTTATATATATTAAAATTAATATATAAAAATTATAGAAAAAAAAAATTGAAATATTGTAAAATATTTGTTTCTCCGGTTCCTGACTATTCTTGAACTGGTTAATTAGAATGTTCCCACATCGCCCGACTCACCAATATGAAAGGAGAAGAAATGATACAATATAATGATCATAATGAAATGTTTTTTGGAAATAAAGGCATTTTGAATCGATTTCTCTTTTATATCATTTATAATATAATAAAAATACAGTTAATAAATATAATTACAATACTTGATATAAAATTAAATATAATTAAAAAAAATAATAAAATTACAATAAAACATTAATAACCTTAATAACTTTTAATATAATTTAAATGATTTAAAGAATAAATTTTTTCTAAATTTGAACCTTAACTTTTAAACTTAAGAAGGCAAAAAAGGCAAACGACAAAGCAACAAAGAAAACATTTACGATAATAATTCTTTATTATTTTTCATTTTATTAATAAAATTTACATATTTATAATAATAATTATTATTATTATTTTTACATATTTATTTATTACATATTATAAATTACATATTACATAAATACATATAATATATTGTTGTTATTATATTTTTGCATTATATGATTGTCAGAATTAACAAAATTACTTTAAATAGTTGAAATATTGAATAATATAAATTATATTACTTGAATTATCTAAATTATCTAAATAAAGAAATATTTATATACTCTGCTTTATTTTCGTTAAAGTGGGGAGAATAATAAATATAGTAAATGTATATGCGTGTTATTTTGTGATCGGAATTAATAGAAAAAAAATATGCGAGAATCATTAATAGTTAGTAGTTTTTCCCCAGAAGCATAATCCAAAATATTCATATTCCGCCCAAATGTTATATTCCAAAAAAATTAAAGGAAAATTCTTATTAATTTGTATACGCACAAAAATACATTAAAATTTATTTAATATTATTATTTAATATTATTAGAATATTATTATTATTAGTATTTATTATTATATTACTGTTATTATTATTATATTCTTCATATTCTTTTATATATTTTGAGAGAATTTTTACTGTAAATAACATTATTTAATATTATATAGTTTACTGATATTCGTTACAATAAATAGAAGGTTATGAAAGATGAAATAGATTATATTATGGGAACATAATAATGAATTAAAAGGTACACAGAGGGTCATATCCAAAATTTACAGGTTTATGGAGATTAGCAAATATACAAATTATAATAAATTCTATTTATTTATTTATTTTAAAAATTTTATTGTAACCTTACACTCATTAAAACAAACATGTTTATTTTATTCCTTCTTAATTTAGTAAAATTTCATTAAGCTTTATTTTTTATATTATCAAATCCTATAAACGGAAATATGCTTATTCTCGAAGGCAATGATGAAAAAAAATATATATATATTATACATTTAATAAATTCAATAAATAAGTTCAATAACGATAAATACAATAAAATAATAAATAAACAGTATATTAACAATGAATTAAAAATTATATTAATAATAAATTATTTATTAATAACAATAAAAATTATTAACTACGAAGTCAGAAAGTTCCATTATACACAATTTTATATTCTACTATGATACTATCATGTGTATCACGTATATCATGTGTTATATGTCATATGAGATATCTGGTGACGAAAATATGCAATGAAAAAATAAAGAAAAAAATGCCAAGGTAAGGTACAACAAACGCAATCCTATATGTTCCATATCTGTGTAAAAATTCAAAATACAATAGGGATTTCCCAAAACAATGAAAGATTAATTAAATTTATTGTTATGTTTTTTTAATTAATGATATGATATCATATTTAAATTTTATAATGTTGTATAACAATTATTCATTCATTGTTATATAATTTACATTATTATCAGTTAGGGGGTGTTTGAAATTCATTTGACTCATTTGACAGAAGTCAAGCGTTACACCAAATAACCGGTAAATTACTATCAAGTTAAATTATTAACTATATTTTTATGGTCAAAATTACCGATTATTTGCGGCCTTTTTTTTTTATATGTACCAGATTACAATTGGATTCAGATCTTTTTTTTATTATAAAAATTTTTTTTATTGGGGAAAGATGTGCTCCCATAAAATTAATTTGGAATCATTCTGTAGAACATTATTTATTGCTTATTGAATATAACCAATTAAGATATTATTCTTATTTATTTTTCCCACTCAAAAATTTTTTTTTAAAAAAAAAATATTTTCTTCTCGAATTACCACCACTGTTTTTAACCCTGTTCCTGCTGCTCTAACACTGTTATTATTTTTTTTTTTTAAAAAAAAAAAAATATGTACGGTTTGAGTCCTCAGCGCATTCAATAAAAAAAAAAAAAAAAACCTGATGATAAACATCACATTCTGTACATACATAAAATTCTTTTTTTTTAATGAATCAAATTTCTTGAAGTGAATCAGGTTTTAAAGAAGTTTTAGATTTAATTAAATTTCCCAAAGAAAAATATGGTAAAATTAAATTGATTCTCATGAGATATGTTGAAAAAAATTTTCAACTCGCAGAAAACATCTTCTTTCCGGACTTCATTTTACTTATTAATTCTATATCCATCTTTTTTCGTTTTGAGCCAATTACAAGAGCACATCAATTTTATCTTCTTTCTTCTTCTTCATCAGTGCCAATGGCAGAAATCTTGTTTATTTATTTGTTTATTGGAAAAAATTTTTTTTTTATTATTTTTCTTTCGCTGATTGGTCATATATTCATATTAACTAAAAAAAATATTAAACAATCCTCTTCATTATTCTTAATGTTTTTAAATTTTTTACTTAGAAAACAATGGATAATCAAAAAGATTTTGTTGAATTATTTATTTATTTATTTTCATTTTTCCCTGAGATTTACAATTATTTACAATTATTTACATACAACAAATATTAACTTTGAAAATTGTATTTATAATCCATAGAAGTTTTACTATTGTTAAATTTACTAAATTTACTCAGGAAGATAATATTGCCGCTCAACTTAAAAAATTCATTCATACATCAAAATTATCTTTCATCTAGATTTATTTGTTTAAATCGATTTTCTGTCTTTAACTTTTTTTTTCTTCTCTCAGCTGTCAAGAATGCAAGTAAATGTATCAACAATAAAGTTTACCCACGCCTGCCTACCTATCTACCTATATACTAAACTTTAATTTCGTTGGTTATAATTTTTGTACTCTCTTTTTTTTTACAAACACGCGACAATTTATCAATACTATATCAATACTTTACTTATAAAGCATAAAATATCATATGATGAAGTTTTTTAATACATGATTAGCTTGATAACCTTAAAAAATGGATATTAATGCTATACGCAGAATTATACATAGAATGTTTCTATTATTTTTATTCTATTATATTCCTTTTTTTTCGCGCACTAAACTTATGTAAAAGCACAAAACGAACACAAAACATAAACACGAGACATAGTAAAAGGGCGCCAACTTAAATGTGTAAATGTTTATACTGTATATATATTTTATGCGTATATAATATTATTAATATATACAAGATATTAAAAAGAAATAAAAAAATTTAATAATTTTAATAAAATAATATTCATATCATAATATAATAATTATTATTATTAATTATATTATTAATTATTATATAATGAAAAATAAAATTATCCTATTTACCTCCTTTTCTTCTCCCCATAAAATTCCATAAAATTAACCATCTCTAAACCCTTATTTTCACCACGCGATTAAAATATGTATGCAGGAAAAAAATTTGAACACTTACGGCCGGTTTATGATAAGAATTCATTAAATAAACTCAAATATCTTAAATATACTGTATCTAATAAAAAAAAAAAACTTAAAAAAATAATAAGGTTTTAAACTATCAAGTTATATCCGGATTTTTATTTTATTATTATTATTAATTTTTTTGTAACAACCATTTTTTTTTTAAATTACGCCTTTTTATATTATAGTTAATATTAAAAAAAAAGATTTGTACAATCAATACTGCAGGTAACTGCAAAAAAATGCAAAGTGTCTGTCATCAAAGAAAAAAAAAATCCACATAATCCACAATAATATGATAAAGTTAATTATTCTTAGAGAGAAGTGAGAGAGGCGATATCATAATCTTCATTAAATAAAAAAATTTAAATTTTCTCTCTGTCATTTGTTTTTATTTATTTATTTATCTTTTATTTATTTATTAATATTAACATAAAGTCTCATTATTATTATTATATAATTCTTTATTATCATTATTATCTAATTCTTTATTGTTTGAATTTTTTCAATATATAAAATTCGTTTATTTATTTATTATTTATTTTGATAAAAAAAAAAAAATTCTCTCCATTTAAAATCTCCTATTTTACTTTTTTATTTTAATTCTCCATTTAAATTCATTTATTATTTTATAATAATGAGAATAATAATAATAATAATAATAATAATAATTTTCCTCAAATTACGAGAAATAATAGATAGTAGACGTTAATAATAATAATAATAATAAATGCACGAACCATAACAATTATGAACTGTGTAAGATAGATGTTTTATGCAATGCATAAATTTGGGTTATTTCTCTTTGAACGTCCATAATTTTTATCCGTAAATAACTTTAATACATAAAAATAATAGATAAAAATAACATTATTATTATAAAATGACGTAAGGATATAAATACAGTATACAATAATATGGTTTTTTTTAAAG